TTGGATGAAGCAAAAGTTCTGTAGCCATTTCTGAGTAGAAGGTTAAAGAAAATACTTTTAAAGACCTCTTGCAGTCTAACTTTCTCTTCTCTTCCTGTTCTAAAATGACCATTCAGGTCACTTTTTTTCTCAACTAAATTCCTCTTTTGCAGCGTCTAATTGTCTCTAACCTTTGACTCAGAGATTCTACTGCTAGGCCTATACCCCAAGGAAGTTGTTGACAAAAAGAAAAGTTCTATATAAGCCGAAATGTTTATAGCAACACTTTTATTTATTTATTTATTGGTAATGGCAAACAAACAAAAAAAAAACCTAGAAACAAAATGTATATCTATCTATTGGGGAATGGCTAAATAAATCCTGGTACATTGGAATATTGTGGCACTGTAAAGAAATAATAAGTACATAGAAGAACAGAAAGACGTGAACTGATGCAAAGTCAAATAAGCTGAGCTGGGAAAGTAATATATACAATGACAGCATTGTAAATGGAAGAATAACAAAATCACTGAAACTAAATATTGCAAAAATTGCAGAGAACAAGCTTGGCCTCAAAGAAAAAAATGTAGAGACGTAGAAGAGAGGGTTGTTGATAGGAAACATTGAATATTGTGTTACAAAGACTAAAATAATGTAAAGAAAAACAATAAGAAAGTTAATACTATACATGAAGTATAACTGATGAAAAATATTATATCCTGGTTCCACAACCTTCTATCAGGCTCTCTCATTCATTCAATAATGATAAAGATGATAATGATAATATTATTTACAATTCATTTCTATAGCATTTTAAATGGGGCAGGTAGGTGGTGAAGTGGATAGAGAACTGGAGTTAGAACCAAAAAAGACACATCTTCCTGAGTTCAAATCTGGCCGAAGACACTTATTAGCTGTGTGACCGTGGGCAAGTCACTTAACCCTATTTTGCCTCAGTTTCTTCATCTATAAAATGAGCTGGAGAAGGAAATGACAAACCACTCCAGTATCTTGGCCAAGAAAACTCCAAATGGGGTCACAGACAGAAGTACACGACTGAAAAACTACCCAACAAAAACATAATGCTTTAAAGGATACAAAGACAGTAGTTAAGGTTGGAGCTTCTATAAAGAGCTGAGCCCCAATTAATATAAAGACAATAATGCTCTGCAGTTGGCCTCCAGGTGTTTACAACCTAATAACCACACCCCTAGGTAACTACTAAATGGCCTAAATGCAGTTTTTGTTTATTTGTTGTTTCCTTGTTTACCAAGTATGCAACCTATTAACAAATAAACCTATTAATTGTTAACTCTGTTACAAAAACCTTCAATTGTTTATTCAACATTAGCAATTGTTCAGGTATTCAGCCCAGTATTTAGTTTATAAAGCCGATTTAGCTAAATTTCCTTCCCTTTTCCCTTTCTTTTAGCCAATTCCTTACTCCTTTGCTGGTTTTTGTTTGTTTGTTTTTTTTTTTTCATTAGTCAACCAGTCATATCAGGCTCTTTGCTAAGCACTGGGGATACACACACACACACACACACACACACACACACACACACACACAAACTGTTGCTTATCCTTCGTTTTTTTTAAGAGGACCAATGGCAACAGGGTGATGATTTGGTTCTGGTGTGAAATGGAGTTAAGTGAGGCAGAATTGCACAAAACTGTCAGCTTCACTCTCTTCCAGGGTTATTGAAATCCAGTGGCAAGACAAAAGTCAAGATGACTGGCCAATGGCCCAGGATGCAGTGGATGACCTTGCTGTATTCAGGGACTGCTTCAGCACCTTTCATGGCCCTTGGACTAAATTATTCCCATCCACCCATTTCTCAGGAAAAGTCTTTGCAGGCTTGGGGCAGACATCCCCCTATCTCACCCAAGTGTCTGAGGCCTGTTGGTTATCCTCAACCTGGTTTAGCCCACCTGCCAGGTGAGAGCTGAGTGCCAAGTAGACACTAAAGGTGGAAGAGCAGCCCTGGAAAGGGTTCAGCAAGCCCTCACACAAGAGGTGCTAGTCCTCTTTGCACATCCCATACAGAAGAGTCAGACATGACTGCACAACAAAGTGGCTTTCCTCTACAGACAGAGAAAAACTACAAACAGCCCCAATCCACAAAGAGCTTACATTCTAATCTAGAAAGACAACACATACTTAAATCTGTATCTATGAGATAAATACTGAGGAAGACAGTCTTCCTCTTAAAGCAAGTCTGGGATTGTAGAGGGTGGAGGATGAGAGGGAGAGTATTCCAGAGGGGATCTGAGGATCTGCTAGAAAGGCCACATGGCTTGACCATACTGTGAATTCTTAGAAGACAGCGATGTGATAAGCAGAAAGGCTACCCCTTCATCAGATACCAGAGTGAAGGCAGCAATAGTGGCTGGGTGGGGAAGTGTGGGAGTGGGTGAGGAGGGGTAGAGGGAAGGAATGACAGAAGGATATGAGATGAAGAGGAGTGAAGAAGATGGAGCTCTTCTCCAAGTTTTTGTCAGTGAAATATGAGTCTCAGTCCTCAACTGAGAGGGTGAGAGGCTTGAAGAGAAAAGGGATTTAGGACAAGCAATTAAGGTAGGGTCTGTAGGATTGTCTTAACTGCCATGAGAGCCTAGGTGAGATTAGCTAGCATACATTTGTGGTGGACCAAGTCAGTCGGGATTAATTGTTTCCTCCAGTAAACGAAAAAGTCTTCTCCCCAAAGTCACTCATGAAATAAATTAAACAAAAATTTTACACGAAATTAAAGAAAACATAACATAAAAATAATTGCTATCAATGATTCATGCAACCATACCTGACTGTTATTTGCCAACTGATAAAAGGGAAGACCATGTCCATTGACTTTAACAAGCTAACACCAGTATTGATCATTGTAATTATTATTTTGTCCATGTAGAATGTTATCTTCTTTTATAGAGCTGAAATCTGTATACATTGCTATTTAGCTCTGTTTTTTTCACTCTGAATTGCTTTTTATCTCCCCATATTTCTTTATATTCGTCACACCTTATGGCTCAATAATATTCTATGAGTTCAGATAACATGATTTATTTAGCCATTCTCAATATCTAAAAAAATCTAAATATTAAAAGAAATGCCAATTAAAAATTAGATGAAAATGAAAGGTTATGGTTTTCATAAGTATGAATAACAATAGAAAGTTTTCACACAAAGTGATACATATAGACCAGGAAGAAACAATATAGATTGGAAAAATCTTTACATTAAACAACTCTGATAAAAAGCTGACATCCCAGATCTATAGGGAATTGACACATAACAGAGTTATTCTCTCCTAAGAAGCAGCTTCTCAGAGTGGTTGGAGAGCAGGTCTCTAAGCCATGAAGACAAAGGGACCTCTGACACCGGGTAAGTCCCTTTATTTCTCATTGCTCCAGGCAAGTCTCTAAAACAACTCCTTAAATTGCAAAGCAATTGGCAATCTTCTCTGGCAGTAGGCATTACCTCAGAGGGGGTTCCCTCCAGCAGCAAAATCACAGGTTTCAATCAAATACCACTCTTCCCACCACCCCAAAAAGAACTATTCTCAACCTCAGGTCTTCCCGACTCCAGATCCAGCACTCAAGGTGCACTCTGTCACTTAACTGTAATCACTTTAAGGTTTGTAAAGCACTTTATAAATATCATCTCATTAGGTCCTCTAAGTAACCCTGGAAGGTAGGTGTTGTTATCACCCCCATTTTACAGATGAGGAACCTGCGACAAACAGATTAAATGACTTGGCCAGGATCGTGCAACAAGTAAATATTGGAAGCCGTATTTAAAATCGGGCCTTCCTGGAAGACAGGTTTTATAATAGCATGGACTGACTTGGGATAGGCAAGTGCTAGGAAAATTTGAAGTAATTAAAATTATGGTTGACATTTATTGGATCAATTTAACAGTCTGTAGGATTTCTTTCAGATGGGCATTGGAATCATAACACCTAACTTCACAAATGATCTTCGGAACAGGTCAAAGCACGAAAGAGGTTTTTGTTTTTGCTTTTTGCTCATTTCTTACAATAATCCTTCCTGATACAGAGAAAGGCACAGGCGGACATTTAATTGATTTGAGGGCCTATGAATCTCTCACCCGACCTCTCACCCACTGCTAATTAATTGCCTTTTCACACTTCTATGTGTACGCAGATGACATTAAGCATCCAATAGCCCTTAGACTCTGGACACTCCAGGTAGTAAACAGTAGCCATGAGAAAAGTTGCAAAACCAAACCAAACCAAACCAACAAAAACATCTGAGTCCAAGGAACCACTGTTGGAAGAACTCTCTAAATTCCTCTAGATCACCATGCATTAAGCAACCGAGAGCCTTTGGACTTTGGCCACTCCAAGTAGTAACTTGTTAGATCTCCAAAGAATTCCTCTTGGAAGAGCTCTCTCTAGATCCCCGTGGAAGTGAAGATGCTTGCTGTTTAAGCTCTGGGGGGGACGGGGCGGGGGGAGAATTTCCAACCCTCTGCCCTCTTGCCTCACTTCAATTCAATAAACACTTATTAAGCGCCTACTAAGTGCTAGGCACTCCTAAAGAAGGGAGAGGGGCAGGCATATGAAAGGGCTTCATTCGGATTAAAACAGGAAGAAGTGTTTTCTCTTCACCTTCTGACTGCCCTCAAGTGTTTGTTTCCTGGGGGAAGGAGGATGCTAAAGCTTTAGCTTCTTTTAGGCGGTTACAATCCTTTGACTCACTTTCTCTCTTCTCACTTCTCTCCCTTTCAATCTTCTCTGTGAGCCGGTGGCGTCTCCCCCACGTCCCTTACTACTTGAGTCCCCTCCCCCCGTCCCCCTGGATCTTTATCGCCTCTGCATTTTCCCGGGGTGGGGGGAAGGGTAGGGCGGGAAACTCCGTCTCCCTCTCCTCCCTCATCCCCCCTCCCTTCTCCCGCCGGCTCCACGTTTCAAAAGCGCGTTTCGGTTCTTGGGTTGGAGAAGGCATTGGCCCCGAAGAGCCGCCGTAGCCCGAACCTTCCAGCGCTCCGAAGCCGCGGCGGCCCGAGCTAGCGGCTCGCCGCGGGCGGTGGGACTTCCGTGTTGGCGGGATTCTAAACGCGGCCATGGCTCAGAACGTTCAGAACGTTACATTGTCTCTCACGCTGCCCATCACGTGCCACATTTGCTTGGGGAAGGTAATGGAACGGAGGCTGTGCGGCCCGCGGAGGCGCCGCTGGGGGGGGGGGGATCCCTGCCGGCGCTGGCCGGAATTCTGGTGTAAGGCAGCGGAGTTGGGGGGAAATGGGGAGCCGAGCCCGTGCCTATCAGCGGTGGATTTTCCGTAAGGGGGTGTTTTGTGGTTGTGAAGAAGAAAAGGGGGGTCTGTTTGGGGGAGGCAGGGAGGGAGAACGGTGGGAGCTGTGGAACACGGGGGACCCCGGGATTGCGGACGCTGGGTGTGGGGGGGGAAGCGGGGGAGCCGGCAGCGTGGTCTGCACCCTCCCGGTCCCGGTTCGCGTGGGCGACAGCTTGTGCTGAGCCACCGAGTGCGCGGGAGTGGGGAGGCTGCAAAATGTGGTACACCCTGTGCAAACCCCCGGAGTGGGCGCGCGCCCGGACCGGGATTGGAGCTCGGGCTAATCAGAATGCTAATGAAGGTCCGAGTGCACGAGATAACAATGGTCAGTTGACTTCCCCCTCGGCCCTTTTTTCTTCCTGGGCTGGAGGCGTTGGTTTTTAACTTGGTTTTTTCTTTTCTTTTCTTTTCTAATTAAGGATGGCTTTTGGTTCAAACGGTCCATCCAAAATAAATAAAATGAGCCCCCTAAGTGGTGTACATAATCACAAGCCTTGCCTAAAATGTGAAGGAGGCTCTCTCTACTCTAGACTTGTAGGATGTAAAAGGTGCAGTAAATGCACTTGTGAAACAAGGTAGAGAAAGCTGTTATGATCAGTAAGTTTTTAAGTTTTTTTCTTAAAAAAAAGTCACCTTTTAATATTTCTTTTCCTCCTCCATGTCTCTTTTAAAATTTTTAAAGGCCCTATAAGCCAAATATTTATTGAGTGCTTACTGTGTACAAGGCACCAGTTAATGTCAATGATTTGCAGGTCTGTCTTTTCCCCCACTCCCCAAAACCAAATATAGACTTTATGAAACTACAGTTTAAATCACAAAGTTAAGCAATGCAAGCTTACAGTCAAAATTGTAAAGGCCATTTAAGTCATGTAGTTACCGAATACTTACTGTGTACCAAGCACCAGTTCACGTCAATGATTTGCACATGTGTCTTACCCCACTCCTTACCCCCAAATACATACTTTGTGAAACTAGTTTAAACCAGAAAGTTAGACCATGCAAGCTCACTGTCAAATTTTTAAAGGCCATTTAAGTCATATATTAATTTATTGAGTGCTTGCTCTGTGCAAGGCACTAATTCAGGTCAGTGATTTGCAGGTCTTTCATGTATCATTCCTCTCCCCACCCCGCATACAGACTTAGTGAAACTGCATTTCATACCTCAAAATTAGGCCATGCAAGCTCACTGTCAAATTTTAAAGACCATTAAGTTATATATTTATTGAGTACTTATTGTGTGTGAAGTACCAGTTCGTGTGGGTGATTTGCACGTCTGTCTTTTGCCCTTCCACCCCCATATACAGAGTTTTTGAAACTACAGTTTAAACCACAGGCCATGCAAGCTCACTGTCAAATTTGTAAATGCCGTTTAAGCCATATATTTATAGAGTGCTTGTTATGTGCAATGCACCAGTTCATGTTGGTGATTTGTAGGTCTTTAATACGTCATTTCACCTACCACCTCCCTCCCCCCAAATACAGACGTAGTGAAACTTCAGTTCAGAACGCAAAGTTAGGCCATGCAAGCTTACTGTCAGCCCAGCTTTTGGTGCTGTCCTCCTCTCGCAGATCAGTGTTTTCCAGAAAATCCTCCCATTATGAGGGTTTAAGAAGTCACCTTTTGTAAAGGCTTGGGAAGTCCTCATTTCTGCTGTTAAAGATTATCATTCATTATTAATTAGGTTAATTCAAGTCTTTAACTCTTTCATTCAGGGAACTACGATGCAAACATGTTCGTAGAGGGCTTTCTTCCTTCATTCACGAAAGTGCATTTATCTTGTCAGTTTGGTCCTCACTACATCCCTTGAAGTAAGATAGGGCAGATATTTATATATCCATTCTCTAAATGAGGAAACTTCGACCCAGAGAAGTTATATAACTTCCTCAAAGTCACCCAGTTAGTGAGTGATAGAGATAAAACTACCACTGACTTGAGTCACCTTGGAATGGGTATGTGAGAAACACATCTAGGACTTTTGACACTAAAGAAGGCCCCACACCATTGAAAGGTGGTAAAAGTAGTCATAATACAATTTCCTTACATTCAAGTTTAGCTGACACAACATAGGAAATACTATTTCCTTAATTTTGCATCATGTTACATTTTTACTCATTAGGCTATTTTGCAAATGTGCTGAAAAACTTACTATGGGCCTGTTAAGCAGGGAGCACCTGTGTGGGAGCCAATCTACTAATGATACCTGACTGCAGAAGCCTAGACATTGGCTTTTGCATCTTTAGTGAACTCAGAATCCCAGTTATTCTGCTGAGAACCTGTATTTTTAGTATAATTTTTTATTAGATTTTGTTTTCAAAACAACAACAAAGCCAACCCTTGGTCATAGGCATTTTCCTGTTTGTCTTTACTGAGGAAAGCCAGTCAGGCAATAAGCATTTATTGAGTGCCTACTCTACGCCAGACACTGTGTTAAGTGCTAGGGATACAAAAAAAGGGGCAAAAGACAGCCCCTGCCTTCAAGGAGCTCACGATTTAACAGGAAGACCACAAGTTTTTGTACAAATATGCTACATGCAGGATAAATTGGAAATAATTAACAGAAGGAAGGCACTAGAATTAAGAGGGACTGAGGCTTTTTGTAGAAAATGGGATTTTAGTTGAGATTGGAAGGAAGCCAGAAAAAAGTTGGCAGGGCAGATGATAAAGTGGTTGGGTTTCCAAGGCAGCACAGCTTAAAACCTAAAAGCAGTCCTTTTTCAGTCAGTGCTCATCTGAACCCTAGTTAACATGTGGGGCTGGAGCTTGGGGCTTCAGAGTTGCTGCCGGGTGAATTTAGATGCATTAGAACATTCAGTCTATCCAGAGTCCTCCTAGCATAGAATCTTGGAGTTAGAAGGTATCTCAAAGGTAAACCAGTCTCATGATTGTAATATTGCACATTTGTGTAGCACTTAAAATTTATTGAACATTTTACATTATTTTGATTCTCACAACAACCTGATGAGGTAGGTGCTTCTATATCCATTTTATAGATGAGAAAATAGAGGCCAAGAGAGGATAAGTTACTTGCCCGAGGTGACACAGGTCATAAGTAGAAGTGGGATCTGAATCTGAAACTTGATTTCAAAGCCAGCACCCTTTTGAAATCAGTATACTGTGCTTTAAATGGCTAAGATAGAAGTCACTCCACCCCTTTCTTAGTCCTGTGATTTCCTCTCCTTCCCCCGACGATTCTACTCATCCAGTGGGTTCTGGCGTATCTATCACAGTTATGCAGCCCCCAAGCAAGTCTGGCCTCTACTAATTACCAAACATTTATTAATCTCCAGACACTGAGTTAAGCCCTGGAGATACAAAAAGAAGCAAAAGACAGCCCCTACCATCAGGGAGCTCATGCTCCAATGGTTATCCCAGCCTCAAAGAACTAACTATATTACTCCCACCCACTTTTTACCTATGTTGAAGTAATCAGGTAAATTGAGGTTGCTGCCTGTGTGATGTGATCATGAGAGAGGTATCTGTCTATCTCCACGTTAGCAAAATATCTCCACCACCAGTGACACCCCAACACTCTTTTTTGAAATGTCTGCTGTTATCACATCCTTGGACTATACTCTAAAAGCTACTATACTGTCCCTAGATCTCTATTTTTTTAAAAGGCAAACATTGTTATTTCAAAGTATAGAGATCTAACGTTGTTTCTAGGCCTCTTTTATTACAACTACTTGTCACTTGGAAGGCGTGACTTTGAAAACTTGCCCCTAAAGAGATAACAAATAGGTAAATTTCAATAAAGTGGAAAGAGAAGTCAGAAGAAATTTGGATTGATTTAGCATGTCTTGGTTCAAATTTAGAATTTTGTTTGAAAGGCCTATAAATGCATTTAGACAGTTTATTACAGCATTGCTATAGTTAGCATCGTTGAACATATATTTAGTAACAGTTCTTCATATTTTTTAAACACTTGGATATGTTTGTTGTTTTTTGCATAGATGAGAGGAGTATAGCTTCTCTGGCAGGTGTTAGCTAAGAATTCTAATCAGTCTTAACCTAGGCTACCAAGTTCATTATCAGTTGGTAAAAATGATTAGTAGCCTCGTGGCCAATATCCAAATGTCTCTGCATTCTCTTCTTTTCCCTTATTATTATGAGGGCTATTCTACCAAACAGTTGCTAATTACTGGAATTTTCCTCTTTCTAATGGAGGCAAATGATGTTTTCTCTTTGCATAAGCTTTAGGCTTCTCAGGATAAGAATTAGAGTAGATTTTGAGCTGTTGTCCTTTCATAGATGGCTTAGAGTATCAGGATTAGAATCCTAGAATGTTGTTGTAGATTAGAGTGCCACAAACTGAACTCTTCCTCCAGATGTGGTCAGCCTTTGAAGAGTACAGGGAGCCACTATCTCCTTTGACACTATGATGATGATGATGATGATGATGATTATCATTATTATTATTATTTTGCTTTTTTGTGAGGCAATCAAGGTTAAGTGACTTGCCAAGTTCACACAGCTAGTAATGTCAAGTGCCTGAGGCTGAATTTGAACTCGGGTCCTCCTGACTCCAAGGCTGGTGATCTATCCTCTGCCACCTACCTGCCCCGATTATTTTTTTATTAATCCAGTACATGAATGCATTAGCCTTTTGAACATTGTTATTGTTGAAAATAATTGATACTCTTAGTTCCAAAAGGTTTAAAGAATTTTTATCATAATGATATTCTTGATGACAAAAGGAAGATCACAGTAGTAATGTTAGTAAAAAAATTTCAAAACTGAAATGAAGAAGGCTTAAGTAATTTACTTGGTTATCACTCAGTTGTGGAATATATACCCCCAGGTCTCTGTAACAAAATTTCAACTGCTGAATGAAGTGCTTT